TACTGGAAGCCCGAGGCAGAGTTGCTCTGCCCCGGGCTTCCTGGAATCAGCTGCTGATCAGTTTCAGCAGCAGCTGACTTGGGGACGCCTGGGGTTCTTAAGTTGAATCTGTATGTAAGAACTGGTGTCCAGATTCAGCCTGTTGAAACTGATCAGTTTCAGCAGCGGCTGAATCTGGATGCCAGTTCCGACTTACATACAGATTCAACTTAAGAACAAACCTACAGTCCCTATCTTGTACGTAACCCAGGGACTGCCTGTACTATATTTTTGTGCCTATTTCATATTAGTCCCATGTCTGTTTGCTATTAAAGATTTAACAGAACTTGTAATGTAAATGTTTTTGTTGCTTTCCAGGCTCTTTCAGCCTATACATTGGAAAGGTAAATGGAATCTTAAGTGTTCATGGACTGACACATATAACTGGTAGTATGAGTACCCAAGGATCCATCTCAGTCTCCCCAAAGAGGGTTTTTTTAACTAATATATTTATGTGGGAATCTGAGATTTAAGAATTTGGTGATATATACCTTGTTCTAGAGTTCATTCATTTTGTTGTCATTCTGCTTACTCTTGGCAGTGCATTCCATAGGCATGGACCACTTGTTGGGGCAGCTCCTATGCCCACAAGTTTAACTCTCAAGATTGCTAATTTCATTGTTCTAGTTGGTTTACAAATGGCTGATATGAAGGAGCATGAATTTTGAGTGATATGGCATGTATAGATGAGTTTAATAGGAACATTTTTTTCAAATGACAGCAAGGTCGGAATTTTAAAGGAAATTATGTTAACAGCTATCAGTCAGAGTCCATTGCCTACATCATGTTTGGTTCCAGTTATTGAGCAGAAGGTGGCGCTTTGGGCTTTTCCTTGGAGCTGCAGTAAGAGGGTGAAAGGTTACCAATTGCTAAGAGTTCAGTAATTCAATTTCTCAAGACTGGCTTCATAATGAGAAATCGTAATTCATTCTGTCACTCCATTGTGTAAGAGATGCATCTTTTAAGTGACACCCAGGGCTGGCTTTTAAAGC